CTGAAACAAGAGATTAAGCGCGACGTGTTATTAAATGCATTCCGAGTGTTCGCCGTAAAGACATCGGTCGCACGACAAGCTTCGCGCTCTTTCTCTCTCTCTCTCTCTCTCTCTCTCTCTCTCTCTCTCTCTCTCTCTCTCGCGACGTGTCCCTTTATCATCGCGATACATTTTCTCCGCATCGTCGCACGGTCGACGATCGCGCGCTTCTGATTTTTGCGCACGGCGGATCCTCGACGGCGCGCTCTCGATCAACAATGTGTCTTCACGCATCGCGTGAGTCGCATCGGCGCCGCTCACGGAAATCGACGCGCGGATTCGGGCCGCCGGATTGTGCAACGTGCTATCGGAAAAGTTCAACGGTTCGCGAGTTTCATCTCGCGATGCTTACCGCGAGATAACGGCCGAGATGCCCCCGCCCGCCGCGGCAATCCCGCCCTTCCGGCGGCGACCTCGCGAGGAAGATGATGGAACACGGTTTGCGCGCGCGGGATACACGCGCCGCTGCACAGTTCATCATCTCGAATCTTCATTGCGAATTGGCGGCGAGATGCTGCCGGCTAATTGTATGGGTTCGGCGCATGGCATGGTCGGCCGATGCGGCGCTTACCTTCGCTAGTGAAAGGATACCTTCCTGCCCACTCCCTCCTCCCCCCCCCCCTGTCCTCCTATTCACAAGCCGCTTTTACTGTGAACGCAATTTACGTATCCACGGACTAATCGGTTCTGCGGTTCATTCGGCACAATAGACGACTCGTGGAAACGAGCGGATGCTGACGAGCTCGCGAATAAAAAGTGAAATGGACGCGCCTGGCGCGCTCGCTCGAGCGGCGTAGCGCAGCTCCGGCTTCAGATCGTATCCTTAATTGGTCCTCGTTCGATTATTCCTGTCGACGAATCGTCGCTATTAATTGAAACGGTCCTCTCGCTTTTAAGAGACGGCATGGACACCGTCTCTCTCTCCGCGTTTTTGTCTTTGTTCCTTCTCTCTCTCTCTCTCTCTCTCTCTCTCTCTCTCTCTCCGCGCGACGATTTCGCTCTTAACTCGCGCGTCGCTTATTACTGCCATACAGCTGCTTGCATATCGTCGACGGCCGATTAATTTCGAGCGTCTCGGGGACCATTCGATATCTCTTTATAAAGTCTTAATAGCTCCCTGAAAGCAATTTGCCTCGACCTTGCGCGTACGGTGAGCAACGCGAGCGCGACGAACGTGTTAATTTCGCGCGATCAAATATTAATCTTAACGTTTGCGTCTCGGTGTGTGGTGAAATTGACATACCGCCGATCTGGGAATATATTCACCCGTGTGTGTTGTGTGTGTGTGTGTGTGTATGTATGTGTGCGCGCGCGTGCTAGTCTGCTTTCGAGGACCGCGAAATGATTTCGCGGATTTTTCGCGACCTGTCGCAATCTCGCGTGCGCGCTCCGGTATAGCTGTTTTCCCCCGGCAGATGATTATAACGCGCCCGCGACGGTGACACGCGGTGAATCCTGCGAAAACACGAGTGTCGACGAGTCGCGCGCGCTCGAAAAATTCGCATTCGTTCGCACCCATTCCGATTGATTGTCCGCAGCAGACGCGGCTGAGAGGCGGGCGAGATCGCAAACGCGCGATTTCGGTCTCGCCAAAGTCAAAGTGCGGCGAGACACTCGTGGACGTGTTTCGCGCTCGTGTGTTGTTTTAACATGATTACGTTTCAGCAGGAAGGAAGGAAGGAAGGAGATCGAGGGGGAGCGCGCTCGCGTGACAAAACTCGAGCGTAGGGCGAGCACTATTACAATAATTGATCGACATCCCTGGCTGAAACTCGCGACGGTCCGTCGTTTTGCTAATCGAGAATTATTACGCTCGAGATGACGGGCCCGAAAGTTTTTGCTGGCCGTCTCGAGCGACAGACTAGTCGCGCGCTGCTCGGGTAGAGGTAGACTCTCTCTCTCTCTCTCTCTCTCTCTCTCTCTCTCTCTCTCTCTCTCTCTCTCTCTCTCGCTCTCTATCTATCTATGTCCCCCCTCCTCTCTCGCGTCTTTGTTATCGCGCACTGTCTCGTGTACGATCGATAACCCAACTTCTCCATTATACACGATTCGAATCGCACGGATCTCGATTCGAAAAAGCGCTGGACTTTTAAGTAACCGCGCGTCTAGATTATCAAGTTAAAAGTTACCGCTGAGCGCAAAATGGAGCGTTATCGACAAGTTGATTCTCCGCGAGAGAGAGAGAGAGAGAGAGCGAGGGGCCACCGCCACGCCACCATCACCACCACCACTATCACCACCACCACCACCACCATCCGTCCCTATTCCCCCCCCCTCTCGTTCCGTCCGAATAACAGATTAGTTGCAAACTCCGGAGCGCCATCGCGAATTCATCTTCATATATATGATTCTTCATTTGCAATTAAATTCCACCTTTGATATTACGTTGGAGGCGATTGATCCAGCCGACGCGACGGAGGGTCCTTACTCCCGCGACCGCGCATTTGTCGTTTTCGCTATAATCGCCGTTCTGGATAGTTCTCCCCACCGTTCCATCTCGTTAAATTGCATTTCAATGGAGTTTCTCGGTCATGCTCCGATAAACCTTTTGAGCGGCTGGCTCGCCGGTTAGAACAAAGGGAATCGCGTCTTCGACCCTATCATCGTCATGTTCTTACGAGTGACGTGTTTGCAAAAGTAACCGCATGCTCTGCCCTCCCGGGACCGACTCGCAACCGGCGCGCGTTCCGTCCGCGCGAAACTCACAGGCGTATCCGCCGTCAGTCTTCTTTTATCGAGGGAGTTGAGAGAGAGAGAGAGAGAGAGAGAGAGAGAGAGAGAACGTTTCAATTATATAACAAAAAATCGTGTCAATCCGATTACTTCGGAGACAAGTCAACTTTAATTGCCACGACAACGGGGGGAAAGCGAGAGATCTCTCGCGAGAGATTCGATAAAGACGGTCTGAGAATAGCGAACGTCAGATGCTGATTCGCGATTATGAGATCGGGAACGACTCGGGACGTTCCTCTGAAATATAATAAGACGACTCTCTCGAATTGTGCTTTGAGCTCGTCTCAAGTCCCGACTACGAATACGATTCATTCATGCGCATACACATACACACACACACACACACACACATCTCCGCGTGAGCCTCTCCGGGCCGGGCGACGCTCCCATTTTCGGATTTCTTCAGCGCACAGGGAGCTATTTCAAAAAAGTTCGCACGAGAGGCGAGCTACAGCGTGTACTACACGGAGGAAGGAAAAGACGCTCTGTGGGTGCACGCGTATGCACGGGCGCGAGAGAAAGAGGGAGGAGGGAGGGAGGGAGGAAGAGAGAGAGAGAGAGAGAGAGAGAGAGAGAGAAGTGGTCTGACGATTTTCAAGGGACCATCATGGCCGTGTATTGCGCCGTTCCAGAAACGAATACGCCAGCCACGTGGTGGTCCGCACCAAAGATTCCGCGAGCAAGTCGTGTACGAGCAGCGGCGGCGTCGGAGCGCTATTCCCCGAAGAGGACAGAGAGAATCGCACAGAGGAGGCGGTTCCCCGGGTCGCGTCGGACACGTCGGATGCGATAATGCACGCTCGGCTGCAATGTCGGTCTCATTGCGCCGTTGCACCGTTGCAGCGACGTACCCTGGGGGGGCATTCGTGGGCTGTGTGTCGGTGTCGGCGGTACTACCACCGTCGTCTCCCTCCCCCTCCCCGCCGTCCCCTGCGCTCGGGCGGATGCAGCGTGCAAAGCCTGGAAAAGGGATTGCCGCATTCGAGCGTAGGTGCACAATTTCGAGCACCGCGTCGTGGGATTGATTTGCATTCTCCGGCTCATTTGCTGGGTCGTGTCCTGCGGGAATTCTTTCCCCCTCCATTTCTCTGCCTCGTGCCCTCGTGCTCTCGCACTCGTACTCGTCCTCGTCCTCGATCCCCGGTTCTCGCGCGCGCTTCTACCTTTCCTTCCGCGCCGTTCTCGCGCCCTCTCGCTTTCTTCTCGCCCTATTCATTGCTTCCGCGGCGTGTTCGTCCGATCCTTTGCGCGCCCCGCCGATTCCCCGCCGTCCTCCTCCTCGTCCTCCGTCGGCGAACGCGCGTAATCTTTCCGTATTTTTTGCGGATCATTATTTATGCGCTGCCTTTGTTCTCGGGATTTGCAGACGTAGAATCCGATCCTTTATCAGAGGTAACCGACGTCTCTCGCTTTAACCTGTCGGGGAGTCGTTGGCTCCTGGCGACGAGCGGAACGATGAACGATGAATAGCAGCGGCGGACTTGCGCTCGTGCGAAGGAGCGAAGCGAGCGAGACGGAAAATCGTTAAACATTTGCCTGTTTTACTGCGCGTTGCATCGAGAGTTATTGAACGATTCACCATTTGTTCACCTCAATTGAACGCGTCTGTCTTCGTTATCTTATATATAGAGCGGCTGGCTGAACGCGTGGTTGCACGTGCGAATTTGTAGTTTATATTTGTAGCGGGGCGTATCCATAATTTGCACGCGCATATACATGATTCACCGCGCAGGGATTCACGCGATATATAAACACCCGTTGTTATTCAAAAAGTATCGCGGCGGCGGATTGCGTGAATTCGGCGACGTAATGGAATTTAGAATCAATTTGTAATTTGATAAGCGCCGAGTCGAATTACTGTCCGCGAGTGTTCGGCGGCTAATAAGATCACGGAAAATGTCGCAATGATGAATGAGATTCGCGGGGCAATCGAGGCGGAATTCTACGATCAGACACGGCGAGAATGGAGGAGCCGTGGAACTCCTATTAGGAAATTCTCTGTGGTGAAATTATACGGAGGAAGGAGTACGTAATATTGAAGCCAACGTAGCGATGAATCTTCGTTTGGGATACGCCAATCGCATAAATCCCACCGTGGAAAGCGTATTAGAGAGAGTGTCTATCAGGCAGGTGAGAAAATACTAAGGCACGCGCGCGCGCGCGATCGGCCGCGATCTTGCCGACTTATCTCGTCGCGTCGGGAAAGAGAGAGAAATAAGGGGCGCGCC